GTGAATTACGGTTAGGATACTATCAGACCCGTTTTTAGCCACCCCGGTCGGGCATTTTTGTGTTGATCGAGGGAACTATTTTTACTTGTTAAAAAAATTAAAGCCATAAAGGAATACCTTTTTTTCATATGTGTACATTAGACAATGAATAACGATATGAATAAGGTTAGGAGACGACCAGACACGTTTTAATCCACGTTCAGACACTTTTATGTCGATACGCAACATTTTTATTTATGAAAATAAAACAAAAAGCCATAGACAAATGACTTTTTTTTTATATATATGTGTGTGCATTAGTAATGATGTGAGATAGGTTAGGAGACGAACAGACACATTTAGCTTGATTAAAGTGCCCATCTGGGCACTTTTGTGTGGTTCCGGCAACATTTTTATGAATTTTGCAAATATGAAATGTGATTTCACAATAATTTTAAATTGTCTATGCGGACAGAATAAAGTATTTGGTGTGGTTTTTAAGGCGATCGGACTTGATTAAATGGCCTTTCCGGGTTCTTTTGTGTGGTCCTGGGAGCATTTATATTAATTACGAAAAAAAACTAATGTGATTTCACAATCATATGTCTATGCCGAAAGAAGTAAAAAAAAACAACAAACAAACAAAAAAGAAAAACATTTGTTATGGTTTTTAAGGCGGTCGGAGTTGATTAAAGTGCCCATCTGGGCATTTTTGTGTGATTCCGGCAACATTCTTATGAACTATGAAAATATGAAATATGATTTCACAATAATTTTATATTGGCTATGCGGACAGAATCAAGAGAAATAATTTGGTGTGGTTTTTAAGACTGTCGGAGTTGATTATAGTGCCCGTCTGGGCACTTTTTATGTGGTTCCGGGTTTTACCAAGTCCTATTTGTTTTCAACTACGATTCAGCAACCATAAGAAACGTCTGCCAAACTATATATGTGCTCACCATGGGAACTGATCATTAGCTGGAGTAATTAAACACTTTAAATGTATTTGAATGCAAGATAGGTTCTTTATCTTTATAATAGTACTTAGCTTTAACGTCAACAAATGACGCATGTATGTTAATATTACAAATATTATTCCCAAACATTCTACATGTGAGAAATACTCTGTAATATTATAGCTGTGTTGCAACAATAATTGCCAACAATTGTTTTTCACTTCAATCTACATTAACTTCGAAACCTGACCTACATCTACAATTGTCTTAACGTTTATTTTTTTAAATATACGTTAATTACAAAAATTGACATAAGCTCTATACTTTAGCTAAAAGAGTATTTTACTTTACTAAGATGGTATAAATCTTCTTAAATATACACAAATTTCTGCAACAGTTGACCTACGTCATTTTAAATGTAAATAGTGCTAATTTCAGAAATCGAACTCCATTTTAATATTTGTGCATGAATTTATTGCGGTACTTAATTGTTTATTTAATTATTAATGTATAATGAATAATACTGGACTCACGTTTTACTCCTTATATATGAATTACGTGCAACCATCGAGCAGTATTTTATTATTGTACTTGCATAAATTTCAATATTTAATATATATTTGTATAGATTTGCATAGATTGACCTCTGTTTATATAATTTCTCATGAGTTAATTTTCAGAGATAAGTTATATATATTTTTCTAATTTTCTATCTCTATTGTTTGTAATTGAACCTGTATTAATTCCAAGACTTGTACTATACTTTTCTAAGTCTACATTAATTAACTCCGAGTGTAATTTATATTTGTCCCAGTTGTAAATTAATTTATTACAGTGTATTCAATAATCTATCGTACTTTTCAAACTGGAAATGTATTAATAAGAAAATTGAGTTATATATCAATAGTGAATGAATTAAGCATGGCCAGGTGGTTAGGGAGCTCGACTCGCAATTTGAGGGTCGCAGGTTCGAATCCCCGTCACATCAAACATGCTCGCCATTTCAACCGTGGGGGCGTTACAATGTGACGGTCAATCCCACTATTCGTTGGTAAAAGAGTAGCCCAAGAGTTGGCGGTGGGTGGTGATGACTAGCTGCCTTCCCTCTAATCTTACACTGCTAAATTAGGGACGGCTAGCGCAGATAGCCCTCGTGTAGCTTTGCGCGAAATTCAAAAACATAAACAAACAAACAATATATATATATATATATGTGTGTGTGTGTGTATGTGTATGTATGACATCTTGTTTTCATAATAACATTTCCCTATTGATTAGTTTAAAATGTAATGTAGCTTCTCATATTAGTAACTGATAGATGATGTTAATGTGCAGCTTACAAGTTCTGATATAAAACAGAATTTTTGCTATATTGAATGGTTATAACACGCAATATTCTCTAACAAGTTTGAAAATGGATATTTCCACCATCATCGTGGCTTCAGTTCTTGGAACAATGGCAGCGCTAGTGTCGATGGGCTTAACTTTATTTCTATGCTACCTCTACTGGAAGAAACTCGGGCCCAAAAAGACAGCAAGAGACGAGTTAGAACCGCTGCAGTTTGGAAAAGTACAGCCGATTGAGCAAAATGACGAAGTAAAAGAACTTTCTCGACATAATGTTGAAGATCGTGTTCAACAAGGACCACTGCGTTTAATCTCACCGCTGGTGGGACCTGTGCAAACCCAGTTAGTGTCGTGAGTGATCTCTATACGTATAATAACTAGAAAATTAATGTGCATGTTTCTTATACATTGGAAGTTAATTATTTACTATCAAAAACTGGGGCTACCTAGCTCATAACTTTAATTTTCGAAATGTCAAAGAAATCAACTTGTAAATACGTATATATGTAAATTTAAATATAATTTCGAATTGTACTTAATCTAAATTTCTTGAGCTGGCTTTACCTTCTTCGGTATTATTGAGATTTTGTGCGAGAATAACGTTAACTTACGAATTACTGTAATATAACTGAATATCGGGTTTATGTACAACGAATGATTTATAATACGTTGTACAAATAGTGTTATTGTCAAACATATCTTGCCATCTTAAGTGTATATGTTGTTTTGATTCGATTTTCAATTGTACCTTTGAGCCACTTTTTTCTTTCTGAAGTAACTTATAATTAAAACAAAAAATATTGTAACCTATTATTTAAAATTATTAAAAATAATTTATCGATATACAGACAAATTAGTTCGTATTCTAAACTCATGAATGATGTAAATTTAATGTGGAGAAAATAATATCATTAATTAATACTTTGTTGAAATGTCCTTGAATTCTTTCATTTCATAAGATTGTTTAGCCTTTGTGGGTTACAAAAGTGTGCTTTTAAAACTCTATCAAGATTTATAATAATAATCTAAGCGTTGTGTCTTCGTATGGCAATAAAACGGCCATCTCTTAGTGGTTATGAGGTTTACGGTTCGCGTTCCGTTGATGCAAAATCACGTCACGTATTTTGGGAATCAGGGATGAATTATAATGAGCGCCTGTCAAATCATACTATTCGTTTATTGTAGCCCAAGAATCGGGTTGTGTTATCTTGATTAGCTGTCTTCACTCTAATCTGTTAGCTCAAAATCGGGGAGTCCTTAG